CCCTAGGGTCGTAGTCCTAAGGGCCGTGGTTCGATCCCCGGCAGAGGCAGAAGCAAATGGGCAGTTTTCACCCTGGTTCATCTGTTCACCTAGCAATAAATAGGTACCTGGGAGTAAGACAGCTGCTACGGGCTGCTTCCTGGGGATGTGTGTGTATTCACCTGGTTGTGCTTGTGGGGTTGAGCTCTGCTCTTTCTGCCCGCCTCTCAACTCTCAATCAACTGTTACTAAGTACTACCCCCCCCCCCCACACACACACACCCTAAGGAAGCAGCCTGTAGCAGCTGTCTTACTCCCAGGTACCTATTTGCTGTTAGGTAACAGGTGCATTAGGGTGAAGGAAACTGCCCATTTGTTTTTCCGGCGGTGTCGGGGGGTCGAACCCTGGTCTCTAGGTCCACGAGTCTAGAGCGCTGTCCACTCAGCCACCACCCACTCGCCCAGTTGATATTCATGCCAAACCTGTCTCCTGAAGCCTCCTGTGTGTGTTAGAGGGAAATATATGTCGTTGATATATTAAAAATAGATTAGTTATAAAGGCGGGGTCCAGGAGCTAATAGCTCGATTCTGCAGACACAAATAGTAAATACACACAAAATGTACCCAAGTAAATGTAAGGTAATGTAACTAGGTGGAGGAATTAAAGAGGCCAGACACAGGATACAGAATGGGAGAAGTCCTTCACGAAACGGCTAGAATGATCTAAGAGTTGATATTACGCCAAACCTGTCTCTTGAAGCCCACATCAAAAGAATAACATCAGCGGCCTATGTGAGGCTGGCTAACATCAGAACAGCATTCAGAAACCTGTGTAAGGAATCATTCAGAACCTTGAATACCACATATGTAAGACCAATCCTGGAGTATGCGGCCCCAGCATGGAGCCCGTACCTTGTCAAGCACAAGACGAAGCTGGAAAAAGTTCAGAGGTATGCCACTAGACTAGTCCCAGAACTAAGAGGCATGAGTTACGAGGAAAGGCTGCGGGAAATGCATCTTACGACACTGGAAGACAGAAGAGTAAGGGGGGGACATGATCACAACCTCATACCTCCCGAGCTGAGAGGTATGAGCTATGAGGAAAGACTCAATTAAACCTCACGTCACTTGAAGACAGAAGAGTGTTTTACCCTAAATATTGATTACCCATGATTACCACATACAAAATCCTCAGGGGTATTGACAGGGTAAACAAGGGTAAACTATTCAACACTGGTGGTACGCAAACAAGGGGACACAGGTGGAAACTGAGTACCCAAATGAGCCACAAGGACGTTAGAAAGAACTTTTTCAGTGTCAGAGTAGTTAACAGGTGGAATGAATTAGGCAGTGATGTGATGGAGGCTGACTCCATACACAGTTTCAAATGTAGATATGATAGAGCCCAATAGGCTCAGGAACCTGTACACCAGTTGATTGACAGTTGAGAGGCGGGACCAAAGAGCCAGAGCTCAACCCCCGCAAGCGCAACTAGGTAAGTACACACACACGAGGCTGCTGTTCAGTGTTACTTTACATATTTTCTCACACGTGAACTATTCCGTGAACTGCCGCCCGTGTATAATTTGTTCAGAAAATAACACACAAACTTCACTGGAGCAAATTATATATTGTTGGGGATTGTTATCTTCCTCCGCAGGATCACAGGCTGGAGATAATTGGTCAAGTGATCATTATACGATGAGGGTCAAGTCATTATGACCTCTGAAGTAGTGTAGGAGTGCACACAACACACTGTGGACCAGAATTATATTTATTTTATTGCGGCTGTAGTTCCTGAAGACCATTCAGGAGTTCCTTCAATTTATTAATGATGCCATCCGCATTTATTTACATCTATACGGTCACTATTGGGGGGTTGTGTTGGAGAGTGGGACCCGGGGCGCTGTGGTACATTATAGTATGTGTGCTTATGGTGGTGATGTATGTGGCTGTAGGATTATGAGGTAGTGATGTTGTAGGCCCGGTGTTCTCTCTCTCTCTCTCTCTCTCTCTCTCTCTCTCTCTCTCTCTCTCTCTCTCTCTCTCTCTCTCTCTCTCTCTCTCTCTCTCTCTCTCTCTCTCTCTCTCTCTCTCTCACACACTTAGTTTTATCTGTTCCTTTCCTTAGGTGCAGTATTTCTCTTCTTTATCGCTGGGCGGGGGGAGGTTTTCCCGCCATCACGGCGTATTTATCACGACAGGGTCGCCGGTCTTGGCCAGACGGGCCGAGGGCCGAGGGCCGAGGGCCGAGGGCAAGACCTCGCCCCGCAAGCATTTTTCACAGTTCTTCAAGATGGATTTCTTCCCCCCTTAGATTTTGAAGAGAAATTTTGCTATTGAATCTTTTTAAAACAAAGACTTAGGAGAGTAAGGAAATATTGTGGAGTTACATTTGAGGTATAAATTCCTGCTTAGAAAGGTAACGCACAAGAATAGACAGAAAGGTAACGCTGAAGAAGAAACAAAAAGGTAACGCACAAGAAGAAACAGAAAGGTAACGCACAAGAATAGACAGAAAGGTAACGCTGAAGAAGAAACAGAAAGGTAACGCACAAGAAGAAACAGAAAGGTAACGCACAAGAATAGACAGAAAGGTAACGCACAAGAATAGACAGAAAGGTAACGCACAAGAATAGACAGAAAGGTAACGCTGAAGAAGAAACAGAAAGGTAAGAGGAAATAGAATAACGCTCTACAACAGCATATTTCCGCTGATAAACAAGAGGAAGGAGAGAGAAGAGGCGTTACCAAATATTCCAAAGGAGGAAGGTAGAAGAAATAGAGGCGACATGTAACGTACTAAATAAGAACGTTCAAAAAGAGGTATTCCTGAAGCCTGCAACTTCAGTACCACGAGGTCATAGATTCAAGCTAAGGAAACAAAGGTGCCGAATTTATGTTTTAGAAAGTTGACTTTTGCAGAGACAGTTGGAACAAGTGAGGTGGTGGTGGGCAAAACCGTCAGTAGGTTAACAGCGTTATATGACAAAGAGTACTGGGAAGACGGGACACCACGAGCGTAACTCATCCTGTAACTACACTTAGGTAATTACACACACACACACACACACACACACACACACACACACACACACACACACACACACACACACACACACACACACACGCACGCACGTCGTTCAGGACCTTGCATACAACTTATGTCAGACCAATCCTGGAGTATGCAGCTCCAGCCTCCAGCTCCTAGTTAAACACAAGACAAAGTTAAAGATTCAGAGGAATGCCATCAGACTAGTCTCGGAACTGAGAGGTATGAGCTACGAGGAAAGGCTATGGGAGCTGGACCTCACGTCCCAGGAAGACAGACGAGTAAGGGGAGACATGATAACCACCTACAAAATTTTGCTGCAGTAGGCCTATAGCGGTTCATCGTGAGGTGCTTCACCTCAACACTGGTTATATATTCTCCTGCTCCAGGTATACTGTAACCCTTAAGGGCTATTCATGCCCGTGCCACCTCTTGGGTGGCTTAGTCTTTATCAGTCTATACTGTATCCACTTGTATTCTGTCTCTGAGAATGTTGACACAGCTCAACGGAACGCACACTTAGCTTCAGGCCATAATGAAACCCTAAAATGAACTTTGGAAAGAGAATTGTTCATATTCCCTCTCAAGCGAAGACAAACATTAGGAAATACAAACAATTCTTGCTAGAATCTTTCATCTGAAACACACTTTATATCTTTGTTGTTTGTTTGGCTAGGATAAGTTGAGTTGGTGGAGACAAGTTTGAGGCAGGATAGGTAAGGATGGGTTAGGTTGGGGTTGTATATACAGCCTTAGACTTCCCTATTGTGGAAAATTAGCCGATCCTTCCAAACACACAACCAAACTACGACGTTGCTACAACGTTGGAACAAGTTTTAACACCTAACTAGTTGTAACAACCAATATAGCAAGTTGTAACAACGTTCTAATAACGTCAATAAAACGTTATAACGAGATGTAACAACTTTATTACAAGTTGTAATAAGCAGAAAATAGGGACAATTACGTAGTGTGTGTGTGTGTAGGGACACCATGTACCTGGACACACCTCTCTTACACCCCACCTTAGTGGGTGTAGGTGCTACACTGGCATCCCAGGAGGGGGGGGGGGCTGGTCCTGTTATCCCCATGTATGTTGTACGCACTACAAAATGATCACTGATTAGTGGGACGAGCATGATTGTAACTGCGGTGATGTCAATAACGAGGTTGGTTTCCAGTGCTGTTAGTAACGGGGTTGGTTTCCAGTCCTGTCAATAACGGGGTTAGTTTTCAGTATCATACGCAATAATGACGGCAGAATATTTAAATATTAAAGCCACCTATACATGCTATATACCAATATGTATACTTTCGTTACATGTCTGATTTAAGTCCAAATATTATGTATATATATACATTTAAATTGTATTTTTACTATCACACACACACACACACATATATATATATATATATATATATATATATATATATATATAGTGTCAGACCACGAAGGAAAACTTGAAACAGGAATTTCCTTAAGTACTTTCGTATCTAATAATACACCTTCAGAAGGGTGAGTTACAAGTTAGTACATTTGGACACTTATAAGCAAGTGAGGTGAAGTGACGTAAAGTCACTCACATTTTTCATACGTTTTTAATTTTCGTAATTTACGCGCATGTATTAATTTATTGACGAACTTTAAAGGTAAGTTAGCTCCAGAACCATTATTGTATGCTATACACCGAAGTATATTGGGAGGATCTTGTGTAATAGTTGCAGACGTATGCTAACACAAGAGACTCACCATGTTACAAATAAATTAAATTTTTTTATATGACTTGTGTTTATGTATGATGGAATTGAAGGTAATAGTTTACATTGAACACTTTGACAATATTACAAGTATGTACAAGTTTTTTTATATTAGTATAATAACAAGTATATTACAAGTTTTGTAATTTTGTAATTTCCTAATGTAATAACAAGTATATTACAAGTTTTGTATGACCTGTGTTTTTATATGATGGAATTGAAGGTAATAGTTTACGTTGAACACTTTGACAATATTACAAGACTTTTACCGGTTGTTCACTTCTAATGTAACTTTTGGTGGATACTGTGATGAGTATTTTTATCCTTGACCATCACAAGTTATTATCCAGCCTGGGTGTCAGGGCGGGATTATTGACCACTAACACCCTTCACTATAGTGACCTGACACCCGACACCTACACGTGTGTCAGGTCCCTGACAGTCTTCAGGAGTCTTTCTGTTGAACAGAAAGGTATTAATTAATTATTAATTGCTTGTTAATACGTCAGTTATAACTGGAGAGAAAGAGTAACTTTCAATAAGATTCATTTTAACATTTTATAACAGGCCAGACACACCAAAGTATCCTGTTATCTCGACTCGGTCTCCTGTTATCTCGGTCGCGTTTTTTACGTTATATTAACCAACGTTACAAATCCTGTCGGACATATTTATGACTAAATATTTCCCCACAGCATTGGTAACGGTTACCATAGGGTAAAAACCTGGACGGTAGAGCGACGGTCTCGCTTCATGCAGGTCGGCGTTCGATTACCGATGGTCCGAGTAGTTGGGCACCCTTCCTTCAGTTTGTTCTATCTCAGCTCCTTGTCCTCATAGCCCAGCTCCTTGTCCTCATATCCCAGCTCCTTGTCCTCATATCCCAGCTCCTTGCCCTCATATCCCAGCTCCTTGTCTTTATATTCCAGCTCCTTGTCCTCGTATCCCAGCTCCTTGTCCTCATATCCCAGCTCCTTGTCCTCATATCCCAGCTCCTTGTCCTCGTATCCCAGCTCCTTGTCCTCATATCCCAGCTCCTTGTCCTCGTATCCCAGCTCCTTGTCCTCATATCCCAGCTCCTTGCCCTCATATCCCAGCTCCTTGTCTTCATATTCCAGCTCCTTGTCCTCGTATCACAGCTCTTTGTCCTCATATCCCAGCTCCTTGTCCTCATATCCCAGCTCCTTGTCCTCATATCCCTTTTCCTCCAGACGTGTGCGTCTTGAGATACGTACTGACCTAATTGTGTTTGCGGGGGTTGAGCTCTGGCTCTTTGGTCCCGCCTCTCAACCGTCAATCAACAAGTACATGTGTGCATGAGGGTGAAGTGTGGGTCTGGAGGTAACGACGTGTGCGTCAGGAGGGGGTGAGGTGTGGGTCTGAGGGTGAGGAGCACGTCAGGAGGTGGTGAGGAGCACGTCAGTAGGTGGTGAGGTATGCGTCTGAGGGTGACGTGTGCGTCTGAGGGTGAGGAGCACGTCAGGTGGTGGTGAGGTATGCGTCAGGAGGTAGTGACGTGCGTCAGGAGGTGGTGACGTGCGTCAGGAGGTAGTGACGTGCGTCAGGAGGTGGTGAGGTATGCGTCAGTGTAACTAAGATACCCGTCGTATGTCCACAGCACGCGGCGGGTCCCCAGCCGGCCCAGCGAGGGGAGAGACGACCCTCGGCCCCCGTCCTGCACTCCGGCACCAAGTTCAGACACGGGCTGCTCCAGCTGATGATCCACACCATCGATCCTCTCCATGACGGTGAGTCCCGGGCCCTGTGCTGCTGCTGCTGCTGCTGGTGCTGCTGCTGCTGCTACTGCTGCTGCTGGTGCTGCTGCTACTGCTGCTACTACTGCTCCAGCTGTTGGCGGCGGTGGTGGTAGTGAGAGTGAGGCTCCACGGTCATCGCTAGGGCGGGGAGGAGAGCCATCATGTTGGGTTGAGGAATTGTAGTTTCCTGAAGGGCAGTTGTCACCCCTAGGGCCTTGGGTGTCACCCTAGGGCTTTGGGTGTCACCCTAGGGCCTTGGGTGTCACCCTACGGTCTTGGGTGTCACCCTAGGGCCTTGGGAGTCACCCTAGGGCCTTGGGTGTCACCCTAGGGTCTTGGGTGCCACCCTAGGGCCTTGGGTGTCACCCTAGAGCATAGGGTGTCACCCTAGGGCATAGTGTGTCACCCAAGGGCCTTGTGTGTCACCCTAGGGCCTTGGGTGTCATCGTATGGTCATCAGGTTACACTAGGGTGGCTGGTTATACTCTAGGGTGGCTGGTTATACCCTAGGGTGGCTGGTTATACCCTAGGGTGGCTGGTTATACCCTAGGGTGGCTGGTTATACTCTAGGGTGGCTGGTTATACTCTAGGGTGGCTGGTTATACCCTAGGGTGGCTGGTTATACTCTAGGGTGGCTGGTTATACTCTAGGGTGGCTGCTTATACCCTAGGGTGGCTGGTTATACTCTAGGGTGGCTGGTTATACTCTATGGTGGCTGGATATACTCTAGGGTGGCTGGTTATACTCTAGGGTGGCTGGTTATACTCTAGGGTGGCTGGTTATACTCAAGGGCAGCTGGTTATACTCTAGGGTGGCTGGTTATACCCTAGGGTGGCTGGTTATACCCTAGGGTGGCTGGTTATACCCTAGGGTGGCTGGTTATACTCTAGGGTGGCTGGTTATACTCTAGGGTGGCTGGTTATACTCTAGGGTGGCTGTTTATACCCTCAGGTATCTGGTTATACTCTTGGGTAGCTGGTTATACTCTAGGGTGGTTGGTTATACCCTCAAGTATCTGGTTATACTCTTGGGTAGCTGGTTATACCCTAGGGTGGCTGGTTATACCCTCGGGTAGCTGGTTATACTCTAGGGTAGCTGGTTATACTCTAGGGTAGCTGGTTATACCCTAGGGTGGCTGGTTATACCCTCGGGTAGCTGGTTATACTCTAGGGTAGCTGGTTATACTCTAGGGTAGCTGGTTATACTCTAGGGTGGCTGGTTATACTCTAGGGTAGCTGGTTATACTCTAGGGTAGCTGGTTATACGCTAGGGTAGCTGGTCATACTCTAGGGTAGCTGGTTATACTCTAGGGTGGCTGGTTATACTCTAGGGTGGCTGGTTATACCCTCGGGTATCTGGTTATACTCTTGGGTAGCTGGTTATACTCTAGGGTAGCTGGTTATACTCTAGGGTGGCTGGTTATACTCTAGGGTAGCTGGTTATACTCTAGGGTAGCTGGTTATACTCTAGGGTGGCTGGTTATACTCTAGGGTAGCTGGTTATACTCTAGGGTAGCTGGTTATACCCTCGGGTAGCTGGTTATACCCTAGGGTGGCTGGTTATACCCACGGGTAGCTGGTTATACTCTAGGGTAGCTGGTTATACTCTAGGGTAGCTGGTTATACTCTAGGGTAGCTGGTTATACTCTAGGGTGGCTGGTTATACTCTAGGGTAGCTGGTTATACTCTAGGGTAGCTGGTTATACCCTAGGGTAGCTGGTTATACCCTCGGGTAGCTGGTTATACTCTAGGGTGGCTGGTTATACCCTAGGGTGGCTGGTTATACCCTAGGGTGGCTGGTTATACCCTCGGGTTGCTGGTTATACTCTAGGGTAGCTGGTTATACCCTAGGGTGGCTGGTTATACCCTAGGGTGGCTGGTTATACCCTCGGGTAGCTGGTTATACTCTAGGGTGGCTGGTTATACTCTAGGGTGGCTGGTTATACTCTAGGGTAGCTGGTTATACCCTAGGGTGGCTGGTTATACCCTAGGGTGGCTGGTTATACCCTTGGGTAGCTGGTTATACTCTAGGGTGGCTGGTTATACTCTAGGGTGGCTGGTTATACTCTAGGGTAGCTGGTTATACCCTAGGGTATAACCAGCTGACTAGGGTAGTCAGTTTCTTCACAGGGTGTTCTGTTTCACCCTAGGTAGGGGTGTTCTCTCCATCTTGGCGGTCTGATAGGGTTTTCATCTTCTTTGCGTCTCTGTACGAAAGAAATGATTGTGCTCCTTTTATTTCACCTGATACCTCTGTTCACCTAGGAGTAAATAGGTACTGGGAGCAGGCAACAGCAGTGGAGTTGCATCCTGGGGCAAGGTCAGTAGTTCCACCTAGAGGGGACCTCTTTACAAGCCTGAAGTATGTATATTTACAGGCTTCCTGTCCCCGACTAAGGATCGAAAATTGAAAAAAATAGGATCCTCTATTTAATAATGTTCGGTTGGACTCTTGTCTTAGACTGACAGACACAGACTTCGTTTGTTCACTAACAAAGAGGCTGTGGACAACATTCAGCAACACAAGCACTTACTCAGAGGTAGTGAAAACTATTACAACGTGTATATTGACAGATACATGACCAAAGATGAGCAGATAGCCCACAGGGCAGCCGGTCTCGACACACCTCGTCCCATTTGAGCGTAGTTACCCACCCCGTGCCCCACCCCGTGCTAATGAGCCCACACCTGCTTCCCAGGTCACACCCTCCCCAAATCAGCCCTCCCTGCCCCTGCTTATGTCCCCAACACCTCCCCTGACCCCTCTGATCCCATTGCATCCAAATCCATCTGCTTCATCCCACATTCCAAGGACCCCCTCATCCCCTCAACCCCCAAAACCCGCCCTGCCCTCATCCCCTCAACCCCCAAAACCCACCCAGCCTCACCCCCTCCTCATCCCCTCTCCTTCCATGTGACCCCCTACCCTTGCGAGGGGGGCATATGGACCCCCCAGTGGGGGACGGGGGGACTCCCACCTCTTCCTCCATTTCCCTCTTACCTCCTTCTGCCCCAATGCCCACACCTAACCCTGAGTTCCCCGTGACTAATACAACCTTCCTCCCACTATCACTATCCATGTTTCATCCGCCCCTTCCCCCCCCCCTCTATCCTTCACCCCCCCCCAACCTCTCAACCTCTATCTGACTCTCAACCTTATGCCACCTCCCAACCCCTCTATGCCTCTCAGACCCTCCCTAATCTTCAAACCCAGTATGCCCTTACTACTCCAGACCTAGCTACCCAGGCCCTACCCTAGACCTTCCTACCTACCTTCCTAGATGCCCAGCGCCCATTCGCCCCCAGACACCCCCCAGATCCTCCCAGCCCCCATTCACTCCCCAGATTCCCCCCAGACCCCCAGAGAAAGGGCGAACTCTGATACCAGAGTTTCCATGAAGAATCTCAACATTTGGTACACCAATGCTGATGGGATATCTAATAAAGCAGAAGAGGTAAAAGAAAGAGTGAGTCAGGCAGATCCAGACATAGTTGCAATAGTGCAAACTAAAATAAATGACATGATCTCGGATGCAATCTTTCCAGAGAGGCTACCAGGTGATAAGAAAAGAGAGGACACAGAGACAGGGAGGGGGAGTAGCACTCCTAATAAAGCGGAAATGGAAGTTTGAAGACCTGGGAAATCGGGTTACCAATGAGTGCACAAGCTCCATACATGAAACTCTGACAATAGTTGGGAGGAAGATTGCGATCTTAGTAATCTACAATCCCCCACCAAACAGCAGAAGACCCAGGCAGGAGTATGATGACAACAACAAGGCATGTATAGATGAACTGCAGAAGGCAGCAACACTAGCCCACAGAACGAGAGCGAAGCTGCTGATCATGGGGGACCTAAATCATGGAGAGATAAATTGGGAATCAAGGAATCCCCATGGAGGTGACGAAACGTGGGGAGCAAAATTAGTAGATGTTATAGACAGGAATTTCCTAACACAACATGTGAAGGAAGACACAAGGGAAAGAGGAGGAGATGCGCCGTGCCTATTAGACCTGATTTTCACCCAGAACGTAGAAGATATCGAGAATTTGGAGCATGAATACCTCTAGGGGCCAGCGACCATTGTGTCCTAGTCTTTGACTACATGATGGAATTCAAACTTGGGACCATGGGACAACAGATCTGGGAAAGGAGAGTTGACTACAGGAAAGAGGAATACAGGAAAGGGGACTACAGGAAGATAAGGGACTATCTGGAAGAAGTGCAGTGGGAGGAAGAAATTAGAGGAAAAACAGTCCAAGATATGATGGACCTAGTCATACGGAAATGCCAGGAGGCCGAAGAGAGATTTATACCAACAGTAAAGGGAAAAAGTAAGAGGGAATATAATAACCCATGGTTTAATAGTCAGTGTCAGGAAGCAAAAATGGCCAGCAGGCGGGAGTGGAGGAAGTACAGAAGACAAAGGACAGAGGACAACAGGATCAGATGCAACAGAGCTAGGAACGATTACATTCACATAAGACGAACATCGGAAAGGAACTATGAGAACGATATTGCGATCAAAGCGAAAAAAACAATCTAAATTACTACACAGTCATATAAGAAGAAAAATGTCAGTGAACGACCAAGTGACAAGACAAAGGAAAACAGGGGGCATATACTGAAAGTGACAAGGAAATCTGCGAGGCACTGAATGCCAGCTTCCATGGAGTGTTCACAACCGAGCCTGAGCAGCTCCCTTTGTTAGAAGAGATTACCCTACATGCAAGACTATCAGATATAGAGGTGACAGCAGAGGAGGTAATGAAACAGTTGACCTCACTGGATGCAACTAAAGCGGTTGGACCAGACAAAGTATCACCGTGGATACTAAAAGCAGCAGCGCAGGCCCTCAGCGTGTCTCTGGCAATGATCTTTAATGAGTCACTTATGTCGGGAGAATTGCCCAGTTGCTGGAAGAAGGCAAATGTCGTACCGATTTTCAAGAAAGGTGATAGGAAGGAGGCACTTAACTATAGACCTGTATC